GAGGTGGCCGTAGTGTCACAGTGAAAATTCTTTAGCCCCTAGCCAGCAGACAACAGTCAGGATAAAGCAAGTGCTTAATCAAATGCAGGTCTATTGCCAGGAATAGTTTAAATAGTTCTTGGAACTAACACATTCCCCACCCTGCCTCAAGCAAGAATACCTCTGGCTCTCTCCCCTCAGCAAGGCTTGAGTCAGACCCTCAAGCCATACTTCCTCAATTCAATCTCCTCGTTCGCCAAGAACAAGTCACCATTGCACAGTACGAGCTACGCTCCCTATTTTAAATATGATTTTTACACACTATTAGGCAAAGTCTACCTGTTTTCTGCCAGTGACATTCCCTCCCTGTTGGAGACAATGGAAACTTGACTTGGAGACAGGTGTTCACCCCAGAAATTTACATCATTAACAGACCCTGCTAGTGTGCTGGCTCAGTTACTGACGGGCAATCCTGCATTCAGGCTGGTAAAGAGGCAGTATCTTTAGAAGAGGTATTTTTACATGCTTGCCAAAATGATCCCCTTTCCTCCCTCCCCAAAACTATGCCACAGCAGTGAGTGCTCCACCTGAGCGCAGGACAGGGAGAACAGAGAACTGATTTCAATAGTACAGCCCATGGTAACCTCTTTTACTTCCTGGAAAGTTACAATGCCATCTTAAGATCTTATGTAGCACAATCCCAACTTGGTTTTGCCTAAAATATCTATTTTTCCTCTGCCTCTTATATAAAAAGCTACTGCTTTTACTCAGGTGTTTTCCACTGGGCTTATAATAAAAAGTACCTTTTACAATCAGAAAGTCCCGAACAAGTTTCAAATTCAAAAGTTTACTGCTGTTCAGCTTAAGATTTCTGAAAGCTCTTGGAACTGTCTTTCAGCTTCAGTGATTGATCATATGCTTGGAAGAGCAAAACCTTAACACGGTTTACTGCTGCCTTTTAGCACAGCTACCACGTTTAACCAAGGTGCTGCTGGCTTGCTGACTGAGAAAATGCACATTCTGACAGCAACCAGACCGAGTTTTACACACAAATACCACCCTGTGGCAAACATTTATATAATTCTTAGTGTAATTCAACATTTTTCAAATTGCTTTTACTATCCTTATGTATGCAACAGGTGACTGACAGAACAGGATTGACATTATCCATGCTCTAGGAAGCTTACAAGCAAGCCCTGTAATCCCATTGTCAATAGCATACAAGATTCATATGAAAAAATCAGGCTACAGGAGGGTGACATGAACAAAGATAAGAGCAGCAACAGGTTCAGAAATGCTTGTGAGCTTGTCCACACAACTAGCAAGGGGGTGTGCATGCCTGTTTTGGTTTTTGTTTGGGTGGTGGGTTTTTTGACAAGCGGAAGGAAGCAGGTACAGCTTTACCTACAGAGTGAAGAATCTCAGCAGCTCAGAACCAGGGACACGTGGCACACTCTTCCAGCCATGCATGGGACTATGCAGAACAACTCTTCCAGAACACATCCCAAAGGAAAACACACCAAGCCAGAGCACAGCCTGGGTTTCTGCTCAGGGAGTTTCATAAACACACTGAAGATGTTTGAGACAATAAAACCAGGAAGCCATCAGCAAGAAGGCTGCCAGCCATCAGGCAGAGCACACAGCAGCGTGAATGCAGGGTTATCACGAATGTTTTTGGGTAACCGCTTACCACATCACCCGTGCTGGAACACCAACCACTTGTAAACAATCCTTACGCTACTTCTGCTGACTTGTGTGGTGCCCACGGGACTGAAGAGAGGTGCCTCTCATGAAACCCTAACCTCTCTCACTGGCCTTTAGTGCTGTAAGACCAGACCCAACTCAGAACACGGTTTCAGTCAAATCCCACCTCAAGCATACAGAGAGCTCCAGAGAACTAAACAAACTGCAAAGCATGACTACCAGACTGGTCTTTGAACTTCTGCTTCTCCATGGACTACAACAGTAGAGAGAGCCTACACAGTAAGTTGTTGCAGAGAAGGGAATCCAACAGAAAATTACAAGGAGCTGGTTTTAAGCCTTTAACCTCTGAACAGAGAGCCTAAAGCGTGAAGGGTCCCCCTTCAAATAGCCCTCAGCTAAGTCAAAGGGAAGCAGCTCATGTTTCTGCTGTGACATCCTCAATGTTATTCTCAACATTATAGAGGAAGGTGGGGTTTTTTGTTCTGTTTTGTTTCCTTAACTACCATGAGCACCAAAGGTCAATACTGAAACTGAGGCTGGAGATAGCATTGACGAAAAGGAAACAAGGACAGGGAAGCGTGAACTCTCATTAAAATAGAACAAGCCAGGATAATAAAAAGCCCTGTCCGCTCCAACACCTCCGGCAGGACAGGGACAGCAGGAAGTTTGTGGTTTCAGCTGACCCTATGGCTCATTCATGGCATTTCCAGAAGAACCACATGCACACAACCATAACTTCCGCCGACTGTAGCAGTAAAACCCATCTCACTCGGAGTGCTCAGCACTTCATGTGTGTACCGGGGAACTGCGACCCCTCCACAGGGTTAGCAGGGTAGCCCAGAAATTCAGTCTTACTTACCTGAAATTAAATACCTACCTCCAGATAGAGAGCTTTTATGCTGTCCCCTAATTTTTCAATTTGAATTTTAAATTTTAGATTTGGAAGTTTTAGCTTAAAAATATAAACAGGTAATTTCGTCCATCTGAAGATACTGGATATATTTTTTAAAGCACTAAGGCATATTGAAAATCAGAGACTTGAAACCTTTTGATATATTTATTTTTAATGCTTTATTCTGAACACTCTTTGGCCACCAACACAAATTGGCTATTTACTTCCATGCACTACTCATACTTTCAGTTCCTAAGCACTCACCTGTTGTGAGACAAAAGCCATTCTCGCTGCTGAGAGGTGAATACATTCACCAGAAATAGAGGGGTTGTTTTTAAACATCAAGTTCTGTGGGTCCCACAGGTGGTAGGGGGCTAGCTCAAGCCTGGGAATGTTTGCTGAAACTCTTCGTGCTGTTGAGTCACTTTTATCATCTTTCCCGCAAAAAACCTCTGGAGTT